TCAAATGCACTCCAAAACTCTACAGGGTCCAATCCCAAAACTTAAAAAAGTCCAAAGTCTTCCTTTTTATAACCATCAAATCTTACCAGAACACGTCAGAAATTGCCCAGGAAAATGGCCCATCGTGTGCGCAATAGACTGCATCATGCGTGATGTTGCTTTAGCTGCTCTTCCACGCGCGCGATGGTGCACGATACCACTTTTCTTCTTTTCTATCCCGCGCGGTGTAGCGCGTAATTATTTCAGTGGCTTGCTCGCTTTTGCTTCTTTTTTATCTAAATTTCTTTAACTCCCCAATTCTTCATACTTGGTCATTTTTGCTCCGTTCTTTAGCCATTATTCATCAAATTTGATCATCTTCGACTTTTTTCTTTGTTTCATAGATATAAAATATGCAATGACAAAGTTTCATCAGTATGACATGAAACTTGTGTTTAGAACTTATTTCATATTCATGTTTTGATTCTAGAATGGTGATAAGCATAACCTTTGCATGTCCATTCTACAATTGAACCATACATTTTCTTCATTTGTTTGAAGAGTATTATTAATCATGAAACTTGGTGAAATCTTCTTGCATTTGAAAAACCTTTAAGACTTTGATTTAGGACAAACAAAGATTTAAGTTGGGAGAGTTTGATAAGTGCGAAAAATATGGTATTTGATCGAATTAAATCTTGGCACTTATTGACTCAATTTATCGGTTTCTACTGTTAAGACTCCCAATTTGTGAATAGAATTAAGTAAAAAAATATTGTGTTATTACCTTTGAATTTCTTTACTATTGTGCAGGATTTTCACACTTATACCAAGATTGGAACACAAAGCAAGAAAGGAAAGAATATGCAAGTTCACCATGCGAGCCTCCGGCGAGACCCGGGAAAATTCTCGCCCAGCATGCCAACAATGAGCCCAAGGCATGGAGAAACATATGCAAAAATCCTCCTTCTTTTTGAGAGAGCCTTAAGTGAGCCATCTCGCCCAGCGAAGCTCCAGTGGGCATCAGGTGACACAAGGCAGAGACTTTCCAAAATAAAAAATGTTTATTCTTTCCTAGCAAGGCTGCAACGAGGAAGCTCGTCAAGCAAGACAAGGAGGTTTGATATGATGATATGGCAGATACTTTAGGGTGAAGAAACATTGCTTGCCATGCGAGAGCAGCAGGGCACAACTACTATAAATAGTTTTAGAAATATTCAGAAAAATGATACTTTTAGAAAATAGAGAGAAAACACCATGAGAAGGAGATAGATAGATAATAAAGTGAATTTTGAAGATTGCAAGTTGGATACACATCAATCGCCGAAAAACCACTATAGATGCTCATCCATCTTTATTTCTTCTCACTTGTAACCAAAGCTACCATGAAAATGAGTAGCTAAATCTCCTTTCTTGTTTGGACTGGATGTAACCCATCAATACCGTATGTACGTTTGTTGATTGCATCAATATATAATCTAGTTACTCATCACTTATCGTTATTGTCTTTGTTTTTCCGTTTATCTTCATAGATTATAATTTTTATTGAGAAATACGGTTTCAAATCTTGATCTAAGATAAAAACCTGTTAAACTCTAAATGCTAGACATAGATTTAGGGTTAAGCATTCACATTTATTACCAAATATTAATGCTACTAGATGGTTTAATAGATTGAGACATTGTCGATTAAACAATCCAGTAGAAATCTTAACAAGAGTTTAGACATAAACGTTGTTGTGAGTGATATGCAAGGATAATGATTGATAACTAGATATGTATAAGTGATTATTAAACTATGTACACATTCAGTGGATGAAACCCAATCCCGCCAAGATTTTATATCTCTAAAATTTCATTTATCAATTACAATTTTTATATTATGTACTTTTTACAAGCAATCAACTGAAATTTGTTTCACTTAAATTGTACTAACTATTGAATGATATAAATATCGCACCAGACTCTCTGGATGCGATAAAGAAATACTTACTTTTGATTATACTCAATATCAATACACATTACGAGGTTACATCTATGACAAGTCTAGGGCATTGACATTCACCTAATCTCTTAACTATATTCTCTATGGAATCAAGGGATATTGGTACTCACCAAGCTTGAAGTGTCATCACACTTCCCATGAATTCATGCCTTCGGATCCAAATTCGATCCAAAGGTATTGTTGCTTACCAAGTAATATCGTCTAGGTAAGCTTACTCACACAATCACAATGTTTTAAACTATTTCCCTAATTATTCTCTTTTACGCGATGGGTTTCTCACTTACTGATTATTCCATGTGGAAAGAATACACATACAATCACATCATTAGGGTTTTCACTTAACCTAAGTGGTTACTCTAGAGTCTTACTCTATCATTAGTCACATACTACGCATGGTATCATGAGTTTCTGGTTCTTACGGCCACACTTGATCTTTCATACTTCAATCATGATACATTTACGCTCTTTACAACAGACTAGGGTTTCATATACCGTACTTACAACTGGTGAATCTCCAAGTGTATCCATTAGTTACCTTAGATGACACTTGGACGCCATTTTGCATCATTATACATATATACATCCTTATGATCGATTAGGGTTTTTAATTGTGTTCACAATAATTTGGTACAATTCACATACCAATACATTTCAAGCAATGAAATATGGCTTCATGCATCATATATATCATTCATATGAATACATATGTCAAGTATTTCATAAGAATGGCCAATCAAGTGCAAGCATGAAGAATTTAGGGTGCAAATCAATTTATTGTATGAAGCAATCAATTTCTTCTTTATTCTGTAAACGAAATTTGGAAATTTGAATGGTGACAATCGATTGTCACACTGAGTCAATTGATTGACTCTGGGCATTTTTCCAGAAATGCATGCACGAACCCAGAAATTCATCCATGCAATTGATTGACTCTGGGCATTTTTCCAGAAATTCATGCATGATCCCAGAAATTCGTCCACGCAATCGATTGTCATGAACATACAATTGATTATTCCCTGAAAAAGTTTGCAAAAATAATGATTTTCACATGGTTTTTCTAGAAACCAATCACTCCTAAACATACTATAACATATACCAACATGTTTAGTGGTGTTAATCTAACCCTAGAATCTTAATTGAAAGAGAGTGACATTATTAGAAATTTTGGATTAAGATCAACGGTAAATGTGACAATTTGTAAAGTTAACATATAAGTCATTTTGAGCTAACTTTTCTTGATTTTCACACTTTCTTTCTCTCAAATCCAAATCAGAATTTTGAAACGGAAAGTGTCCTATAGAGAGAGAGGGGGAGGCGCATGAGAAGAAGAAGAGGGAGGAGGGTTTAAATTCATCATCCATCTTCTTGCATGTGCAAATTTGTTTGGTTCTTTCACTTCTTGCATTGGAATTTTAGATCCATTGTAATCCTTCACGATCATTGATTCGCCATTCAGTTGTGCTTCAACAATAGAACATTTATGGAAGACTTAGTTAAATATGTTGTTATATAAGTAAATCCTCCAAAGAGTGAGGACATTAAAGAGAAAAGTGAATAAGAAGATGAAAAACAAGAGACTTCAAACCAACTTCTTCAAAATTCGATCATAAAAAAAATCAAGAATGGGAACATTGGCTTAGAATTTAGATGCATTAAGTAATGGTTGTGATATCAAACAGGCGGAGTTTTGCTCACAATGACTCAATTACATATAAGTTATCAAACATTAAAAAGAGGGACATTGAAATTACTCTTATGTTAACCATATATAATTATGGTATTTTGTTGCTTGTCTTTCATGTTTATTTTAGTTCAATTAAGTCCTTCACAATAAACATAATCTTCTTTTAAAATGTATTTTGCATGCATTAAACAGTCATTTGACCAAAATCAATGCAATTAACTCGAGTAAGAAACATGTGTCATTCCAATAAAAAAATGTATTCAACATGATATGAATCATGCATTTTTCAATATGAATCATGACAAACATTGAATTGAATCATGGCAAATATTGAATTTGAGAAACATGATTTGAATAATGGTTTTTCTTGACTTAAATCATGCAAGTTATTTTGTAAAATGAATTCAATTCGAGAATATGATTCAAATCATAATTTTATCGGATTTAAATTCTAAGCATCTTTTTGCCAAATGAATTTGGTTTGAGAATTGTGATCAAAATCATGGTTTTGAATCGTGATAACATGACTCGTATCATAATTTGAATCATAGCTCAAAAATTCAACTTTTTTGTTTACTTGATTCGATTCATTTTCTTACCTGATTTGAATCTATCTCAATGTTTTGATATCAAAAGGTCATTTTTATTTGTTTTTATTTGTATGTCTTGTCTCTAGCACATACAAATGCTTTAATCTTCATTATTGACCATAATTAACCTTCTCTAATAGATAATAAAAAGGCGACAAAACATAGGAGCAGCTTAGAAAGGAAAAATAAAATCATAAGAAGATTAGTAATCAATTTTCAATATCCTAAATAGTCAAATAATGAAAAGTGTTAACATAAAGTTAAAGAACAATAATTTATAAACTTTAACATCAACAATCCAAATAAAGTTAAGTTCTTATCATTAAACAATTCTACTAATCAAATATCAGAGGGACCACTCCACTTGGAATAGTTTATTACTCACCACATGAACCACTCACATATGAATCAATTTGGAACTATTGATGTAGCCACACAAAAACAAACAATTATAATTAATCAAACAAAACTAAATTAAGTTTCAATGGAAATCAAGAACAAAGTTGCAAAATTTCTTCAGAAGAATATGGAAAACATGAATCATGAAAAAACAGCCTGCATTTCTTTGTAGATTTTACTCAAAACTCATACACCTTTACATACATCTATATTTCATATACAAACTTCTATCTTAGTAGCAAAACAATCTCAAGGATCAGAATTCAGTTCAAATATCTCTTCGCAATATCATTTACACCACAAACCTCTCGGTGCAAGTCATCACCGCAAGAACAAGCCCACGCTTATTTAGGTTTATACAAACTCAAAAACCCATTGAAATCGTTGTTGCATTCAAACAGAGCCTTCGCAGTCATTTCCCTCTCAAACTTCCAAATATAATTCAAACCAACAAGCAATTCGGTTATAGCCGCTTCGGTCTTCACCTTATCGGCAAAAAACAAAGTTTGCAAAAGCAAAACATTGGATTTCTTAGGAACCAAACTCTTCTCTTCAAGACTCCTTTCACTTTGCCACCTTATCATGTTTTGTGCCAAAGGTAACAACCAACAAAGTATCCTTCCCAAAGCATTTCTCCATTCAGAAGCCAATTGAGGATCACAAGCACAAAATCCGATCGACCCTTTTAGCCTTAACCTCAATGATGATCTTATACTATTTGGTAACATAGTATACAAATCATCTCTTGCATCAACACCAACTAATTGAGGTGATTTAATCATCTTTTCCATAACAATAATCAAATTAGCATAATGTAATGATAAAGCTGAATCACCTAAACTACCTTGTGGTGGTTTCAAAACTTGGCAATTTGACTCAAAAAACCCATTTCCTAAATCAACTTTTCTCTCATCAAGATTGAAACTTTTCAATGGCCCGGATACAAAGCTTTCAACTTTTTGATTATTTTGATGATCAGAAGGATAAACAGCAGCAGAAGCTGATAAACTTCGTGATAAATAAGGTAGATTGTGTCCAATTCCAATTCCAAAAACAAGCTTAATTCTTGCTAACAAAGTGAAAACAAACCTAGCTAATAACAGAACAACATTATCAAAACCTTTGTTCCATAAAGATTTTTCTTTGAGATTCTTTACCTCTTGTTTCTGCCAGAAAATCTTTTGCTCAAGGTCACTGATTTTGCTTCTGCTATTTTTGTTGCTGCTGTTGCTGTTGTTCAAAAGTGATTTTCTCAACGCGCTTTGTAAAAGTGAAAGCTCATCGATTTCTTTATGAAGAGTTAACGTAAGGGACACGTAACGTTCCATTCTTCTATGTTTGGATTCGATTTCTTTTGGGGATGTGAGAGTCCAACCGAGTGAGTCAAATCCCGAGTCAGCGAACTCAGTGAAAACTCGGTGGAAGGACCTGAGTGTGGAGTTAGAACAGTTCATACTGAGTCGAGAGACCGAGTCAGCTACGAGTCGGAGCGAGTCGGCAAACTCAGCAGCGGCGAGTTTGATTAGAAACGACTTGTCGTTTGAGACTAATTTCAAAACGCCTTCGAGTGAAACGACGTGGTTTTGAAGACGAACAATGTTTGCGTCGGAAAGTGATTGCCAGAGATGGAGAAGCTTCGACATCACTCCGGCGACTTCGAAGGCTAAAACGGCGATGCGTTTTGGGTTTGTAGTTGAGGACGGTGTCGTTTTGTTTGAGGGGCGAACTGAGTCGAAGCTGTTTGAAAATGCGGTTTTGAGCCTTGAGAGTAAAGTCTCGAGGGCCATTGAAAAAAGTGATTTTTGTTATGAAGATGGAGAGAGGATTGAGTTTGGATTTTGATGGGTTTGAAATGGTGCTAGATTCTGAGTACCATATGTTTGTGAAATTGCTTGAATGAGAAAAGAGTGAAAAAAATTAAAATGTTGGAGAGAGGGATGAAAGTGATGCTAATGCATGAAACAAGGGGGAAGAGTTATTGTTATTAAAGTTTTGAGAGAGAGAGAGAGAGAAGTGTGATTCTATAAAATGAGTACTAGAGAAGGGAAAGAGTTGAGTGTCGTTTAAGTATTTAAAGTGAGGATTTGTATTGTAAAATGATGTGCCTAATTAGAAATGGTGTTCTGCTCTATTTTAAAAATCGGATCAAACCGTTCGAACTAGTTGAACTGAGAATTAAAAGGGTCATTGATCTAATTTGATTGTTGGATTGGATATACTATTAAATTAGTGAGAATCGGCCCGACCAGGTCAAAATTGTTAAAAACCGATAAACCAACTATCTAAATGCATGTTTGTTTTTTAATAATAACGATGCTGTTTTGATAATTTATTTTTTAAAAATAAAATTAAAATATAAATATATTTTATTCAAAATTTATTTAGAACCATTTTTCTTTGACGTAGTCAGATATTTTTCAAAATTTATTTGAATTTGTATTTTATACTATTTTGTTATATAAGTTTAAATTTAAATAATGAACTTGTGAAATTGTGATATTTTAAAATTGTATAGGTGTCGTGATATATTTTAAAGACCGAGTCATTTGGTTCAATCGATTTATTAAATATATAATTTTTTATAGAAATCGGTTTATTCAGCCGAGTTATCCAATTTAATTCGGTTTAGTCATGTTGTTCGACCAGTGACTCAGTGGTTCGACCAATGAACCAACGACTTAGTACCTTCACCGATTTAATAATTGGTCTGATTTTTAAAACATTTGTGTTTTGGTTTTGTAAAAATGTTTTTAGTTTTTAAAATTTGAAAGTAATAATAAAAAATTAATATTTTAATTTATAAAATTATTTTTTAATTTGGAATTTTAAAAACTAAAATATTATTTTTAGAGGTATAAGTTTTTATTTTGAGATTAATTTGAATACATGCTTTATAATGTCATCTAATTAGAGTGAATAATTTTAAGACAAAAAAAAGAAAAACATCCAAGAAGTAGTTGTTAAAATTATTTAATTATAATTTAATTTTTTTTAATTTCATAATTATGTATTAAAATAATTTATTTTTATTGGATGACAGTCAAATAATTTTATATTGACTGTGTATTCCAATTATCTCTTTTATTTTTTAATTTTGATAAATTAAGAAAATAAAGAAATAGAGGTTATACACTTTTTATTAATGTCTTATAATTTTAAAATTTATTTTTAGAAATAAGAATAGTAAACATCTTTTTCAAAAGACAAAATAATTTTTAAAAGTTAAAATTGATTCAAACCGGTATAGTCTCCTTTAGCCTCTTCTCATATAAGATTGACTCATGTAAGAAGTTTTTTTTTTTATAATTTATTAATAAAAATAATTGTATAGAATTTTCTTTAATTAGTTAGTATCCCCTACAAGCTTCTATTTAAAGTTTGCAATTTTTGCAGTGGATCTTAGATTGATTATGGTGAGTGAGAGGGTTGGTTCAATGTCAAATATTGGAAGGTTATAGTCACTACAAAAGTGGGTAGAAGTTTCACTCATGATGATGAAGATAGCTTTTTTATATATAATTGTGATTAAAGTGTGAGTTCATGCACTTTCTTAAATTAATATTTTTGGGTTTGGGAAAGATTTTGTTGTATTATCGATTTTCTTAGTTGGTGGTTAAAGAGGCCTTTTGTGTAGTGTTTGAATCCATAGAAACACTTTTTCTTAGGGGATAGAGGGTCATGTCATTATTGCCTCTTTCTTTTTTTAAATTTATACTTTTGTTGCCACTCATTTGTTGGTTTCTTTCATGTCATTATAAGCTTTAATTCAACATTTCATTTATTTTAAAATGATAAAAAAATTTATATTAGGAATGAATGATTAGCAGATATAGAGAATTTTTTTTTATAATAACTATGTATTAAATGTTATTTATCAATATACTGTATATTTAAAAAAAAATTTTAAATGGCCAACAATCTAGCATCCGTTCGTCAATTGAGATGGCGAATGTGTGTAAAATAAAAATTGAAAAGTGAAATTCGCCGCGAATGTGTGTAAAATTTAAGAAATATGTATTACAATTGGGATGACGAATTCATTACAATTTGGCCTCATTCGCTAATTGATGTGGCGAATTTCATTTTTTTATTTTCATTTTACACAGATTCGCCAATTGGGATGACGAACGGATGTTTGATACTTGACTATTTTGAAATTTTTTTTAAAATATACAATATATTGGTATTAAATATTTAATATATAGTTATTCTAAAAAAATTCATATAGAGAACTCGTTTGTATACCCAAATATATATATATATATATATATATATATATATATATATATATATATATATATATATATATATATATATATATATATATATATATATATATATATATATATATATATATATATATATATATATATATATATATATATATATATATATATATATATATATATATATATATATATATATATATATATATATATATATATATATATATATATATATATATATATATATATATATATATATATATATATATATATATATATATATATAATTGTTTTATTTTAATCTATTTATTTTATTATTTTATTTAACCATAATTGATTGTTTTCATTTTGTAATATTGTTTTTAGTATATTATATATTACATCAAATATGTTATTTTATAGTGTTTTATAATATTAATAAAAATTATATAATTTTGTAGTTTGAATATTCAAAACTTAATTCATATTAAATTACATGAAATTTGAATTGTGTCCGATTTTTTTTAACCCATTGTCTAAAATTGAACCGAAATTTCAAAAGAAAAATTTAAATTGAATGAGATTTTGTCTCAAAATCAATTCAAATCACACGACGAACATTCTTATTTATCACTGATAATTCGTATAAAATTTGATTAGATGGATTGATTTTTTTACCCCATCATCTAAAATTAAATTGAAATTTCGTATAAATTCAAATGAGTTATTGTTTCAAAAATGTATACACTATAAACATGCTTATATATCAATAATAAAATCAAAATTGCGACATAAGTTAGAGAACAAAAATGTTAGAATTTTCTCTAGTTTTCTAAAATCCTTATCATTTCCATGTTCATTGATATTGATTTGGCGTATGAAATATAAGACCTACCATTAGAATGTTGTGTACTTGAAACAGTTTATACATCAAATAATTAAATAGGTGGCAAACATGTTATGTCAAATGAAGAAAAAAAAAGAAGCAAGACATTGTGTGATTTGGTGTTGATAATTAATCAAGTTTGACTTGAAATAAAAACATATAGATAGTGGTGTATGCCTACAAAGAATGATACATTTGAGAAAAACATAGACATAGTGCTTATTTTTGGTGGTTGAAATATAAAGAAAACTCATTCATTATTCATGTCACATGGTTAGTGGTGTGTGTTGGCCATGGTTGATGATAATATAGAAATTATGGCTCATTAAAAAATCTTTAGATTTTTTTCTCTAGCATGATTTTTTATAGATCTCTTGGCAATAAATAATTCATAAAGAAAGTCAATAGAAACTAGGTTACTCAATGTGTGTAAAGATAGGTAAAAATGGATTGTTCTAAATAGATCTATTTTGTCCTTGATGAACCTCTCTTTTATAAAATTAGATAAAAAAGGATTAGTTTATGAAGTAATGCGAAGAGGATATTTATTTTATATAAAATATAAATAATTTGAGTTTGACTCTATACGGATATGGGTTATTTGATTTTAAACGAATAACTTCTTTATTATTTTTTTTTAAAGTAAAATTAAAAATCTTATATTTTTTTTATAAATATAATATATATAAAAAGTATATTATTTTGATTGTAACATATTTTTAAACATTATATTAATTTTAAAAAATAATATAATAATTTTAAATACAAACAAGAATGAATTATTTTGAATAATACACAAATATTCAATATAATCTAAATTAATAAAATATAAAAAATTGCAAAAAAAATATAAAATAATTAAATTATATTAATATGTAATATTTAACATGAAAGAGTTATTAAGATCCAATTTATTAATGCATACTAAATGGATTACCTATGAAATACATGAACTACCTCAATAAAAAGATTTTAAACACATGCCTAAATAAACTCTTACATAATTCGACTTTAATTTTTGAGAATTGTTTACTACACTCTAGGTATTTCTTCCTCACCATTGTGATAAAGCAAAAAGTACAGAAATGCATCTCTGGACGCACTCTAGTAACACTCGTTTTTGAGTTATAACTCATGTCTATGCCAAAAAAAAAATACTGAAATGCATCTTCAGTAACTTACGGAAATACATTTCAGAACACTATTTTAGTCAAATATGCATAAATCTCTTCTCCTTCCTCACTTCTCAAAACTCTCAAACTCTTCAAACTCTTAAAACCTCTCAACTATCAAAGTCTCTCAACTCACAAACTCTTAAACTCATTCAACGCACTTTCAAGTTTCTACCATTTACATCTAATTGATCAAAGAGCTGAACATCAAACTCACATTTAGTAAGTTTTTTATTTCTCTATACTTTTTATTTTAATATATATTTGTAGAAATTGAACATTAGATTATATTCTATGTAGTTTGGATATTATATTTAAATGAGTAATGTGTTCGATAAGTAGTCTAAAGGATCAATCCGTATTTTGGACGTTGGATTGTGTAACACCCCCTTCTATACCCTCAAATAAACAATTAAATCACATAATAAAATTTCATCAGAGTAAATTTGAAACATGGTATAAAAAAAGTATGTCACATCATGCACAACATAACATACAACACCTGCTCTATAAAAGACATGTAA